AACCCAACCTTGTTGCAACATTTTACACTTTGAAGGTGCAAAACGCATACCGAACATGGCTACAGTAGCAATCAAACTATCCAGAAAAGCTTGTAACTTACCTGCATATTCGCTTAGCAGCATAATGTCGTTTGCATAATCTAGATCGGTCTGTCTACCACCTGGGAGCAAACCGATGCTACTATTCTGTCACCATAATCTAATCTATAACAAAATTCAACAGAAAAGGAGAGAGGGCAACCCTGACGAACACCACTTTCCGTGGCGAAAAAGTGCCGTAAGCCCGAACTTGGCTTCGGCTATCAGTATAAGGGGATTTTAGTATTGAAATAAACTTCTCTGGCACAGACCTCAGCGCATGAGTTTAGAGCGGTCGACTAGATCGAAAGCCGCTTTCAGGTCCAGGCAGATGTAAATGGTGGGTCCACGAAAGTAGTGTCGGACTTCTAGGATTTGACGAAGAGTGAAGATGTGATCGATACAGCCTGGCTCTCACGTGCGGTAGACAATCGGCGGGGTATGATGCCGGCGAAAAGTTTAGAGGAAATGTTGATAAAACTAATTATTTTGTGGTTTTCACAAGAGGACCTGTCGCCTTTCTCGTAAATCGGTATGATCACCGATTCACACCATTCAGTTGGAACCTCTTCGCTCTCCCACACTGAGCCCAGGAGTTTTGTTAACTCCAAAATCGAGGTCGAACCTCCATCCTTAAAACCCGATGAGGACAGCCCGTCGGGGCCGGAAGCTTTATACCTTTTGAGATAATTTATCTCTCTGGTATCCTCTATTTCAGATGGAGGATTGATGTCAACTGGCAATATTTGCACAGTTGAACCGGATATAAGGAGGTCTTGTGCTGATGAGGGCCAACTGAACTGAGCCTTAAAATGTTCTGCCCATCGATCAGGACGGCGTTGCTGAATACGAATGAGTGTTCCGTCGAACTCCCTAGTTACCTCAGCCTACTTTCCTTGGTCCTGTGCTCTAATCGATTGGACAAGACTGCGCCTACTACCGATAGCTACATCTTCTCCTTCTGTCTACACCTTTCTACCCACCAACTCTCGTGGTCATTCCACAGACTCTTGATGAGCTGGCGTTTAAGGGATTTGCGAGCTGTCATATTGCGAATCCGAAGGAATGGCTTTGCGAGCGTCCAGCAGGGCAACTGAGGTCGGCGAGATCTACCGTTTTTTATTTGATCGTATGCCAGGGTCTGTCGTCAAGTGTTCAGAGTCCTCCGATTAATAGTTGACCTGAGAGGCGATATGATAGTTCCGCTTC